CCAATTTAGGCCTACTGCGGATAGACGAAATCCGCTCGCACCACCGAAGCAGCCCTGGTTTCTGAGGATTCCCTGTAAATACCAACAAGCAATGGTTTCAACCATGCTTTCAAAGTGGTGCGAAATGGATTTCGCAAAAATCCACAGCATTAGGGAATTAATTACGGTACGGTTCAGCAAACCTGGAAACCTTCCTTAGGCCGTTTCCCAATGGTAAGGACAACAGGGCCTATTTGTGACTCATAAGGCCAATGCTAGGGGATTCATGACCCCTGTCTCAAAATTACAACTTGGACAAGTTGAAGTCCAAAGATCCAGCCACATAGCAATAAAGATTGGGCGTATCTTTTCTTTAGGGGCTCGTTGTGCTTCGTTGCAAAGGGAAACTGAAGGAAAACCACCGATTTTGGGATCCCCTATTGTACCTCCACCTTGGTGTGCGTTTCCACTTTCGAACATTCCCCCTCCCGCGGTCCCAACTGCTCTGCTTTTTTCAACCCTGTCAAACTTCCCAAGTGTCCACAAAGCAGCAGTTAGAAGTTGCTGGCACCTGTTTTTTGGCTTTCCTCTCACCATCACGCCCAGGAAAACCTGACCAGTGAATGCGCGAACCTGGTTTCGCGAGTCGCCTTCCCGAATCTTCTGATCGGATGGAAAGGCACTTGGAGAACTCGAAGCTAGCCCAAAAAGCCACCTAGGGGCAGGGCTTCAGAATTTCCAGGCGGTAGGAACCAATCATCACGCAACCTTCGCTGGAAGAAGCGGTCGCACGTATGTGTGTTGCGTTTTTTGGGTCTCTCATCGCATTGCAGTTGCCGGGGTCGTTCTGCTGGTCCGGTACCAAAGGAAGCCACCGCTGAGTATGTGTGCTGCGAGTCAAGTGTCAAGTGCCCTGCAAAGTAGATGCCTGAGACACAAATGGAGCGTGCTGAGAGTCCAATTGACCCCAAGCTCTTCCTGTGTCTTTGCCACGTTCTGCTTCATCTGGTGGCTGTTGACCCCTCTGCAAAAGACTTCACTTTTTGTGGGTCCAATTCGGAAAATCCTGCCTGTGTCCCAAGTCAAAGTCCAAAGATCCGTTGCTAGGTCCTCCAGTAGAGAGGATAGAATAAGGGTACCCTTTTTTTTCAGTAGTCTAATTTAGAGGAACCCTCCCCCAAAAAAGGGTGAGAAAGGGCACTACTGCGGGACCTAGTTGAAATGAACCCTCAGATGGGTCTTCGCCAAGTAGAATGGACAGATCCTTTTCTCGGCCATAAAAACCACGTCCAACGAGGGATTTCTTGGAACCCCTCGCTTCCCGCGCCTCCGAGTCACTGCTCGCCAGCCAGGGCGGGGACTCCAGCGTGCCACTGGCGGAGGGATTGGGGGAGGGCAGGGTGGACCCCGGACGGCCCTGATGGAGGGGGTGGAGTGTTGGTAGAGTGGAGTATGTGTCCAGATCCATGCCAAGACTGGCGACGTCCTTTTGGCTTCTCGTTAGCATTTTTTTTTTTTTTTTAAAAAAAAAAAAAAACATGACAAGAGTACCCTCAAAAGGATACTTACCTAACACCTGTCTGTGCTGGGCGCAAAGTGTGCTGGTTCCTTGATTCTTGAAACATGGGTCGTGAAATGCATGAAGTTCGTGAACGCCTTTGAGCCTTAGTACAGGAAATTGTATAGATTCATCTTGCAGGACTAATTTATTTCTGGAAAGGGGGGTGCGCCTTGGGAGGGTGAGATCAAAATTGCATAATTGCTGCCATGTTTGATGCGAGGGGCTGCGCCTCAAACAGCAAAACATATTTGTAGGGAGGCACCCGAAGGGTCTCCCATATATGTTGCATACTCGGAAAAATGATTTTAACACTGGTAAGCTCGTGCTATACCATGCTTGCTTTTGTTAGGACAAGCATCTCTGCCATCAACTACTTCTTATGTTGTTGTCCCTCATGCGGTCTTCAAGCTTTGGTAGAAGAACGCCACCATCACAGCATGAATCTCGGCCACAGATTAAGCAAACTGCTTCATGGCGGGGGTGTTTCCTCCCAAGGTGCAGTGTTCTTTCTAAACATGGGGCACATCCCAATAGCAATCCGTCACCAGGGGATATATGAATCCTGGGGCTTGATTACTTACCATGCCCCCAAATTAAATTTGAATGCATACCCGAATCACTATGTAACCACTGTTGGAGGGTATGCCATACCCTCCAACAGTGGTTACATGGTGATTTTAAACCTCCATTCTGTTTTTGTAGTGGCTTTAGGGTAGTGGAAACCCTCTTAGATCACAGATTTGGGTGGGCCTAGAGGCAGCGCAAAGAAGCTGGGTGGAAAGACGCATCACTGACCTGGTCCACTAATGCCGTCGCCACGAAGAAAGGCTTAGACGCATTTGTTGTTGCTAAACCCGGCGACAACGTGTGTTTCTTCTTTCAACCAGTCAAGACCATTGGACAGTTGATTGAGGCCATTGTGTTCAACGTATTGATCATATGTTAGAAGGTGGGTTTTGGACACACGAGAAACTCAGATCGGGTGACCAATTCTCTATCAACTGCGGGATGCACTCGCAACCTGTTTGGCCATCAAATGTAAAGCTTGCCCAATCCGCGCTAAGAACATATCTCAGTAATCTTCAAGTCTGCTTCAGCAGAGCGGCTATCTACCTGCCCCAGCTTGTGCACACACACTCATACGCTCACACACACACACCTGCCAAAATAAGGCGGACAGTCTTCTGGATTCCCATGCATGCGAATATATGACTGCGGCTTCTGTTAAGGCCCTCAATAAGCAAACACATGACATGTATGTTCAGCTCTTTTTCAGCAAGCTAAACTCGGCCAAGTGCAGATTCCAAAACTGCCCAGAGCTAGCGCCTGCGAATGCTTGAAGCGATGATCACTTGCCCAAAGGAGTTGGAAATAAAAGGTTAACCTTTTGGTACCTTTACCAAAAATGGACCAAACTGGGAAAACCAAAGGGTCAAAAGGTCGATTCGCTTTGGGCAACTAAGGATGCGGGGGACTTCTCCCAAACGGAGGCCGGTGCTCGGTGCTTACGTTTCGATGTCTCGGGTGCCTCGGGCGTGGGGTGAAGCAGCTTGGCTCGATGCGCTCATGGGCGTCTGGTAGCGGAAACCTCGCGAGATGGCGCAAGATGGCGTCTCACGGGCGGACAAAAGCTCAGAACAGCTTGAGTCTGGATGGATGAAACGTTGATTTTCTGGGGAACTAAACCCAAAGAAAGAGGTGAACAAAACAGAGTGCAGGTTTAAACTGGAGACATCGACCCTGCGCAGGAAACAGGGACCCCTTTTTGGGGACCCTTTTGAAACCCACCCACGGGATACAACCGGCCAAGTGTGGTTTGTGGGCTTCTGTGCTCCTGTTCTCTGACGAGCCTCCGTTTGCATAAATCCCCAGGACATCCACATATTTCCAGAGGTGAAGTCGAGTCCCTTTAAAACCAGCAGACCATAAAACAGATCAGCACATGGAAGCGAGAAGTTTTACGGAAGATTAATTTCCCTAGAACCCCAGCGTGACATTTGGAGCTTGATCCAAGCTTCTCAGCCTTCGACCCAGTCCTGCGACCCTCATCTCTTATTTCAGAAGTATCCAAAGGTAGCTAGTAATCATATGGGTGTGGCTCAAAATTAAACGATCGGAGAGCAAACCGCAGGTTTTGGCCTTTGCTTCCGCTACCAGGGTTCCATGTTGGTGCCGGTTTTTTGAGCCACAGCCATATGCGGAGGTGAATCAATATTCGAGGGACCCCAGTTTTGACCATCAACACTTTGTCCATGTGGCAAGTATCATCGTTTTTCTGGTTTCCCCAATGGTCATCCCACAGACAGGGACATTTTAATCAACCCCCATTTGGCCACGGAATCAAGCAAAGGCAGGTTTCCCCAAGAGCGGGAAATTGTGTGAGTTTTTGTTGGTTCCTCCCAAATCAATTGGACCATACACTAGTCTACCAGTAGTTCTCAGTGATCCGCATTCAGGCGGGCGATTCAAATCTGACTGGAATACGCAGCCCGCTGAAAAGTAAACACAAGTGCGAGAGCGTACATTGATGGCTTGTCTGGACTTCAAAAAGAGCATTGTAGCCTATGGTACACAGGTTCAAGAAGAGGCGATGTGGCACCTATCTTTCGCCAACAAGATATGAACGTGTGAAATGATATGTTTGCTGGTGGGAGAGAATGGAAATTGACAGCCACGACGGAGGGATCATGACTCGAACAGTGAGGGCCCTTGGCCCACGGTCGTTCAGAGGCAGTCTCTCCGATTTCGGCTCAACATCGGCCGCCCATCTCTTCAGGTTCGGACTCAACCACATGCGCAGCGGCTTGCAAGTCACCAACCTGCGACAAGCCGACAAGCCGGCCTTCTCTTCAAATGGAGTGTACTCCTTTTTGGGGCCCGGTGACATACTCTTCGAAAGGGACATGAGAAGGAAAGCAACAGAAAACAAAACCACCGTTTCCGGAAGTCCACCCCCCCTGGGACCCCCCTCCCGGCCGCCCGTCTCCGGCCGCTGCGGAAATGTTCTGTCTACACTTTGAAGGGCAGGGTGCAGGGCCTCTGGTCCGTCAAGTTGATTCTATCTACCTGCGGGCAAATCCACGGGCTGACAATGTGCTCAACTCGATCACTTTATGGTCGGGGACCACAGGGCTAAGGGAAACACATTTGCTGCATATGTGGGATTTGCGGGTCAATTGATAAAAACTCATCAAATCAAGCAGACTATATACACCCCTTGCCCAACTGAATTTCATTCAAGTGGTCAAAACATGTGAGAGCTGCTCGCTGATAAGCAAAATCTGCAAACAGAAATGAGTACTGAAGTGATGAAATGGTCGCCGGCAAGTCACCCTCCCACTAGGACCAACCCAATAAACGTCTCTGTGTTGCATCGCGCCCAATTTGACAGAACCCGTTCTAAGGTCACCCAAGCAACACCCAGCTTGAAAATCTGGGTGCACGAATCGCCCTCATTTTTGCCGCAGGAGCGCGCTAGGAGCGCAGCTCACGGCTTCTTTGGCCAATTGAGCACAATCCAAGCGGTAGGCAAAAGGGAAACAACAAGCTACCAGGGAAAATAACTGGGGATCTGTCACAATTGGGACCCACAAAATGGTGGTGTCCGTCTTGGTTCCCTTAAAAACCCACCCTTCTTCGGGGTGCCCTCAAAGAATCACCACACCCAGCACCAGGCTCCCTACCCGTCAAGCTCATCGCTCCGCGGATCCGATCCGCGGATCGCTTGTCGAGCTCTGGCGCTCGAAAGGGTTCAGCACCTCGGCGAGGCTCTGCTTGAGGAGGGTGCTAAACAGGTATCCCCCCTACCTCAAGGGAGAGGGTGGGTTCCCCGATTCCACTTATTTACTCTTCCCCACAAAAGAGAAAATGGCACCATAAATGGAAATCCAGGGGTCACCCCCCTCCCCCAATTCCATTTTGAAGTGGGTGGGGATAAACAGGTGTCTGAATGAAGTGAACCAAGCTGGTTTCCCGCAGAAATGAAGCATGTGGGTCAAAAATAGGGCAACCCCAAAATGGGTTGCCCTGGTAAGTGGCAACATGGACCAAAACCTGTTGTCCATTTCCTGGTGGTTTAATTTTGACCCACACCCATTTTGACCCACACCCAAATGAAGCATGTGCTATACAGAAAAGTCACCGGCTCACTCACGGAGCCCGCGCGGGTGCGCGCGGCACCCGCCGCGAAGAGTCACGTCCGGCTGCGAGTAGGCGCTGTCCGTCTAAATGGTGGCCTCTGCAACCGTCTGCATTTCCAAAATGAATGCAGGAATCTTGAACAGGGATCCTTACATTATACACCTGAACATTGCATTGTAAATGGCGGCGTCCCTGTATTTTTGGTGGCAAAATCATCATGTTTCAACTGGTTGCAATCGGAGCCCCGTTGAAGCCAAGCCCCTTTATCATGAGCTGGTTGTTTTCCCATGTGAGCTCGCAAAAAAGGAGCAGACTCATAATGTACTTCTGTACCTTGTTTAAAAGACTCGTTGCCTTGATGTAACCGAGTCTAAAAAAGACTCTACTTTCCATGGGTTGTACCAAATTTCAAGGCACCCAGCAGGTCCAAACCAACAAAGCGCGCCACCAGCACGGAGCAAACGGGTGACTCGGGGTGCCTACTGGGTCCCTTGATGTGACGCCAAGTTCCCCTGTCAATGCTGTTCAAAGGAAACCAAATCCAAAGGACATGTTGAGCTTCTCAAGCTCATTTTAAGTTCCCCGTACCCAGCGGTTCATAGTTCTGCCACTTGTACCATTCCCAAATCGTTCTTCCGCTTTGTTGTTTTTTTTTCCCCAGAGTTTGGCACCCTTTTCGTTGGTTTCAAGGGACAACAACTGGAAACCACCCACTTTTTGGGGCTCCCCTACAAAAACAAATGAGACTCACAATCAAAACCCGGCATTCAAATGGTCGACCAGAACCATGTACAGAAGTAAGAAGGCGGATATCCGCAGCTATGGTTGGGATTGTCCCTTACTAAGCTTCATCTACCCGGGTTTTGACTGTGGCTCATGAGATCAGGGACGCCCACAGGACCACGCAATCACTCCCCCGCGCGCGCGCGCGCGCGCCGTGGCGCCCGCCGCGCAAGCTGCGCCGCGGGCGTCCTCTGCACCGGGCAGCGGTCGCGCCAGTGGCCGGGCAGCTCGCAGCAGCGGCACACGTAGCCGGCAGGCGGCGCCTGGGACTGGTTGATGTTGGAAGGAGAGCAAAACAAAAATAGCAGTTTAGTGGTTGGATTTCAACCACTAAACCACAATAAGCAAAAATGTAAAGTGTTTCCCAACAACAACCATGTGGGACTGGTTTCCTTGTGTTGACCAAATGTTGGCCACTTTTTGGGCCAAGTCACAAGACTCGCCTGAAATGACTGGTTTCGTTTTGTTGACCAAATGTTGGCTGCATTTTGGGCCCACAAGTGACCAGACTCGACTTGAATAGTAGTCGGGAAAAAAAGGGCGGGTGGGAATTGAGGAGTTTCTGGGCCTGCCGGTGGAACGGAGGAAACACACAAACAGACCTTGCTCGAGAACAAACAGCGGGGGGCAGTTTGGCCAGTTCCAGTGGAAGAGCCGATGAAAAATTAGGTGCCAAGCTCTGCACAAAGAGAAGTCGCACGCCTGATTATTACTCCAGAGCTTTTGCCGCGGTCACATGGGTGGCTCGTCGATTTTGAGGGATCCCTATTTGAGCTTTCAATTGACGCCGAAAGGGACAGGTAAACTATTTTGGGGGTTCCTATGCTAAGATATAAGCATGGAACAAGGAGGGAGTTCGGGTGCTTTGCCTTACAGCCAACGACGGATCAACTTGGGTGTGCGGAGGAAACGCACCAAAGATTTCATCCAGGTTCTGTTGAACTACAAGATCAAGATTCAGGTAACCTGACAATAGCAAACTCATAGCTTCAACATCCTCAACATCCCAAGCAAGACTTGTTTCCTCAGATGCAGATAGGGGGTCCAACTTGCTTGATCTACTCAGATGCCAAATTAATTTCCATGACAAATCACGGCATCAAGTCTTGCACGCAGCAAAAAACAAGTTCAACAAAGGGGCGGAATCCACGCCGCTGGTTGCAACTGGGTAACTGGGTGAGATGCTGTGCAGCTTGTTTCACTTAGTGTCAATAACTTGCCTCAAAGAGAATGTAACTAGCGCATGGTCAAAAGCTGGGCATCTGGTTCAAGGGGTCGATCCAACCTGAGACTTCAAATGGTGACCAGGAAAATGTATAGTGGGAACTGTGGAAAGTGGCTCATCGGCCTCAATGGGTGGAGCAGCTACAACGATCCACACATCATCTGTTGTGGTTTAAGTGAAAGACACCCAATCAGACTTTGCAGTTGGCCAGTGCTCCATGCAGCAAGAAATCAGTGAGAGCTCTCCATTCTTACCTTGCATAAGGCCAAAGCCTCAGCCGAACGCAGACATGTGGTTCTAAGATGGTTGTGGAAGTGTAGCCCTTACTACTTGGTAGACGTTGGAAGGGGAGCAATAATTGTAGCAGTTAAGTGGTTGGATTTCAACCACTAAACCACAATAAGCAAAAATGTAAAATGTTTCGCAACAGCAACCATGTAAAACGGCCATGCGCTCAAATCACTTCACTTCACCTCTTCTCCGTTCACTTCCCGTCGATTTGTTTTGTCAAAAATCGGGTACCCCCAGCATTTGTTGCCCAGGTTTAATGGGGCCAAGGACGAAATGTGGCAAAATCCTAGGGTCCCCTTGCTGAATTTTGACCCATACCAAAGGAGTCCGAAAACATGTACCACCTTTTCCTTGGGTGGCGATGGGTCAAAACCCTAGTGTTTCGGTGAACACCCAGAAAGCCTTCTAGAAAAAAGACAACAGTGGAGTGGTAACCATCCCCAAAAAGGCACCTTAGGTTTTGACCCACTTTTTCAGGTCCCCAAAAAGCGACCAACTCCCAAAAAGACGACTCGCGTGATCTTCGACCAGGCGCCCCCTGCCGCTTCCGAAACGGCTGTTTGACGCCTGGCGCGCTAGGTGGGGAAAAAAAACAAAGGCACCTGCTGTGGTGAGGTCTGCTGGCTATGTTCCCCGCCCCCTCCCCCAAATATCTCGTACCAAAACGCGTAACCCAACTTTTGCTGTACCACGTACCAATGGTCCACAAAAAGGTATGAGGTCCAGGAGGTCAGGAAGTGAGAGTGTCAAGGTCACCTAAGTGGTAGGCAAAGCGGAACCACCTACCAGTTTCTGAGCTTCACTACTGACAGAGACAGTCAGCAGAATGAGTTAAAGCTCCAAATCCTGAAAGCGCGCTGGGAACCCTTCAGTAGGCGTGCATGCACACCAATGGCCAAACGTGCCAAATATCCCGACAGAAACACGGATGTCCTTTTGGGAAAATAGATGGCCCTGATATGCCCTGATAAATGAGTAAACCAATAAGTCTACCAGGGCCCGAGATATGTCTCAATGAAAGTGAAGAGCCACGTAAAGAACGAATTCACCGACAGCCCGTTTGTGCCGTGCGCCACTAAACTTTGCCATATGGTTTCACTAAGAGTCCCTGCTCCCGATAAGACCCTCACTTGATAAGTGCACAGGTACGCCGAGTCCTACGCCGGACAGAGTACGTTGATTGCGGTGACTGGTGTTTAACATACCTGAACGTCCATTGCGTAACTCCCCTTTAAAAAAAGAAACAATATGTCCTGTAGTGATAAACTCCCTTCAAAACCAACAGGGGAAAACAACACATACTCTAGGTCCTCCAGTAGAGAGGCTAGAATAAGGGTACCCTTTTTTCTGTACTATTTTAGTAGGGGAACCCTCCCAACCAAAAAAGGGGAGAGAAGGGCACGAACGGACCTTCCGCGGGCCTGGAGCCGAAATCCCTGAACTGCCAAAGCCCACAGCGTCGCTCGCCCCAACTTGGTCGACGTTGGATGGGGGAGCAGTTTTTTTTTTTTTTTTTTTTTTTTTTTTTTTAAATATATATATATATATCAGCAGTTAAGTGGTTGGATTTCAACCACTAAACCACCACAAGCACAAATGCAACATGTTTCCCAACAACAACTTTGCCGAAGGACCAGAAATAGAAGGCTTCCGGGGCGTAGGTCAAGGTCGATTCGCTTTGGGCAAGTGAGACCAAGGATTCCTACCAGGTAGATCACCGGCATAAGTGGCTCCGAAGGCCTTGGAACCAATCGATGAGGTGGAGCTCAGCTTTCCAAATCGCAAACAGCACTTGTGGCAACCAACGAAAACTCATGTCTATTTCTCCGAGAAAGCCAAAAAGGCTAGGTGGTGCAGGAATTGGACCAACGAATCTATATATATATATCCCTTTGTGGCGTCCTGGTAAATAATTAAACTCCACAAATGCATAGTGTGACATATGCAGCGAAAGGATACCTTCGGCAGGAATAGCTTGTTTATGCACATGCTCGCCTTTTTCGGGGAATGCTTGAAGCCCCATGGTTTTCCAAGCCTCGCCTTCGGCAATCTGAATTGACATGCGATTCCCGTTGAATCAATCAGCATGGCCATAGGTATCAATGCCATGGCCAGGTGGGGTTGGGAAATCAGCTGCACGAAGCTAAACAAGCTAAATATTAGTCTGCCACAAACACACACGTTATCATTCACCGCATTGCCTTGAAACAACTCTCTAGGGTTCTAAAGCAAACTCACATGTTTTATCAATTCATAGAAACACACGCTGGATAGATACAACCCTCACAAAAACAAACAAAAAACATACATAGTCATAGAGTCATAGGTGTCCTCTTGAGAAAGATGGCCCTTCTGGAATGAAACCAACTTGAACCGGGACCCATCGATTTCTACACCAAATAACCGGTAAGGACACCAAGATGGACCTTGGGGGCTCTCAAGATGGATGTATTCCTGGCAGGCAAAAGCAAAGAACCCGTGTGTTCTTCTATGTGGGAGGCAACACAAAAGCAATATGGCCTGATATGGTCTGTTCCTTTTTGATATATTTAGTCTACCCCATTCTTTTTTCCTGTTGGGATCCTGTCACAGGCGTATTGGGCCCTTTTTGGAGCCCTTGAGACCGAAAACCCTTCCAATGGAAGTCCTGACCTTTTAAATTGAGGGTCCCTTTCAAACCATGGTTGAAACCATGCAGAACCTTTCTTGGTATTTACAGGTGGAATCGAATCAGAAACCACGGTTTCCTGCCGGCTTGCCGGTGCGATAGGTAGAGAATGGAAGAATGAACCTGGGGATTCCCTTCAAGGAAACCAGCAGTTGGATGGTTTGTCCAGGGGTGATTCCATTTCTCAATCTCTCTGGGAATTCCCTCAAAGGAAACCACCAATTGGATGTGTTTTTTTTGGTTTTCCCAGTTGGATGTTTTTCCCCCAGGAATTAGACTGCAATCTCTGCATCTCTCGCAGCAATCGCAGGTGGGTGCTCAACCCTTCTTGGCCTCGGGGCTCGGCGCTAGGCTTCACCTCCAGGTTGTTACATGGGCTGGTTGGGGGGGTTTGGTTGGGTTCGGGGGGGTTTGGGGGGAGAGTTTGGGGGGGTTTGGGTGGGGGGGAGGGGAAGCCCCAAAAAGCTTTAGGGAGGTTCTATACGGATCAGCAAAACACTGAGCAAAAATAGGTTGACAGAGCCAAAGAACAGCCAAGCAGAAAAGATTACTTTCAACCACGTGGGGAGAAGTTGGCCATGGGTGTGTTGTGCAGAAACGTCTAGGGAGTGTAAGTCCACGATCAGCAACACACTCGCAATCAAGGAACGCCCTTCATTTCGAGCAACACAAATGGTTGATGACAAAGCAAAAGAGCAGCCCCGCAGAAAAAACAAAAAAAACTTTCACCCCTTGGGGAATAGCTAGCCATGGTCATGGAAGGGAATATTGATCAACCCCCATGTGCCATGCTGAAAACGCCGCTTCTTTGGCCGATGGTTCCCTGAATAGGAATCATTGTAGTCATGACACGGATCCTTAGGATGACCATCCGTCTTTTAATCATGGCACAAATGGGGTTTGCGGTTTGAGGAAAAGGCTTCTGAAAGTTGGTACTGTAATACCACACAACCAAATGTTTGTAAGGATTCAGCCCATTGCATTCCTGTTTGGACCCTGCCGCCTTATGCCGCCTTTTATGTCATCGCAAAAAGGAACCCCCATTTTTCACAACCCACCCCTTCCTCAAGTCTCCAAATGAGTCAAAAGCGGTGGTCTCCAGACACAAATAAATCGCGGCTCCAAAACCCAAAGAGTTGAATGTTTTCAAAAGGCTTCGTAGGTTTGACCATTTCCGAGGGGGTCAAAATCCACGGCGATTGTTTCGACGATTGTTTCGACGATTCTTTTACCAAAACAATTGTCGCAACAATTGTTTGAGAATACACGGGCACGCAAAACAATTGCTGCAACAAATGTTTGACAAAACGCGGGCGCGCGAAACAATTGTTGCAACAAATGTTTGACAAAACACGGTAAGCAAAACAGTTGTCGCAGCAATTGTTTGACAAACACGGATGTGCAAAACAATTGTCGCAACAGTTGTTTGACAAAACACGGGTGTGCAAAACAATTGCTGCAACAATTGTCTGAAACACGGGCATGCAAAACAGTTGTTGCGGCAATTGTTTGACAATTGCTTTATTATACGACGCGGACATGCAACACAATTGTAAGCAATCCTTGCGCTAGTGCGCTGCATGAAAAAAGCATCGACGCTGGGGCTGAGGTTGGGGGTGGCTGAGCTACGCCGCTTTGTCAGCTCGCGCCGCAGCTGCTGTTTTGGACTCCAAAGGCACTTGTTGGCTGCCAAGGCTCTGTGGCCTGGCTAGGCTAACTGAGGCTAACTGCATCTCTGTCCCGGGGTCGGGTGGCGTAGATGTTGCCGACTAGGTCAGAGACCGGCTCACGGCATAGGCCTGCCTCCTTGCACAACGCGGAGGGCTGCCAAGGTGGCATGGACATCCGCCTGCGTGACTGGGGCGCTGGGCTCGCGAAGGACGAAGGCTGCAAGCGCTGCCTGCCAAATGGCCAGCAGCACTGGTAGGGACATCGCGTTGCCAGCGAGGTCCGTCATGAGGCTTTCTGTGAGCCACTTGCGCTGCGATTGGCCATGCGAAGCGTCGATCTCGTGGCGCAACTCGGCTAAAAGCCTGCGGGCTGGAAAACCTTGCATGATAAGCGCCTCCTGGCCCAAAAGCACCCGAGCAGGCCTGGTAAGCTCCACAAACAAAAGCTGCCCGGGCAACATCGTTGGGGCCACGTGCTTGCCGGAATCTGGGCTCCAGCTTTGCGAGTGGACTCGGCCAACTGACTGGCTGAGATTCCGAAACCCCGCCGAAGGCGCCTGATGCCTGCTCAGCAGCAATGAGTCTTTTTCTCGGTCTGTGAGGGTGTCAAACCAGTCGTTGCAGGCAAGGTCCGCAGGAACAGGCTGGCCCCACCGCACGCCAGCGCTCTCTGAGTAGCGCATGTGCTGCTCAATCCACGCGCTCCCTGCACTGTTGCTCTGAGAGCGGCCCGCGCTCTTCAGGGCCTTGTCTTGCCGCGCAATGAGGAACTGCTTGACATCCTCATCGTCCCAGGGCAAGAGAACCTTGCTTGCACACGGGGCTGAGCGCACGCACGACGCGACGCAGGAGCGAAGCGAGTCAAAACAAGCCTCCAGCGGCCGGCTGCTGAAACTAAAGACGCAGTTCGTGACCTTGACAAACACGACGTAGAGTCGGCGGCGCCTCGCGGGCAAGCCAAACTGGTTGGAGTCCACAAGAAGCTTCTGGCCAGAATACCCTGTGTTCGCCATGGTCTCCATGAGGTGCTGGAGGTTGTTCTGCTGGGACTGCGGGATGGCGTCGTCGATTGAGTCCACGTTCTCGTAGACGATCATGCTGGGGCCGTGCTGCCTCACATATGCCACGAACCCTTGAAACGTTTGGGCCGAGCCCCCTCGGCTGCTGACTTGGTCTAAGACCAACTTGGTGTTGTCTTTCGAGGGGTTTGCCCTGCTTAAGTCCTTGCAAGACGTTCCAACAACAAAGATGTCCACCCGGGGAATGGGGCAGTCTTTGTCATGCACCACGCAGTGCCCGGCTGCCTCACCAAGCTGCCCGATGTCTGCGAAGATGCAAGCATCACCGGCCCACCAATCTGGGTCGGAGTCCAGGTCAGCGCCTGGCAGCCCCATTGTGGTGGCATCGGAGCGGGACGTCTCCCCGTCAGAGCAACCCGCATCTGGCTCAAAGTCATCAAGCCCTGCCCAGCTTGCCTTGCCGGCTGACAAGACTGCAGAGATCCATCGCTGCTTGTCTTTATTTGCCTCGCATGAGAAGACATGCTGCAGCGATGTCTTGGCGCGCGCACGGCCAAGGGCAGCGTTGATGGCCATCGCAACGTAAAAGGCGCCCTCAGTACCTGAGCACGCAGATGCCCAGGTCAAAGTTACCTTGTCCGGCCTCGGCGCGCTCTCTTGCTGCAAGACTTGGGCAAAGCCCGCAAGGTTCTCCCGAGCCAGCTGTGGCAACAAAGTGCCATCTACCAGGCCTTCTGCATCCAACACCCGGCTGAAAGCCGCAGCCTGCTGGTCTATGTTCAACGACTCGGACTTCTGCTGCTTCAAGGTGCGGGCCCGTTTGGGTGCCTGAGCTTCAGGCAGCTCAGCCATGAAAGCTACCGGCCCGCCCTACTAGACCGACAAAGCCTGAAGACTAAGACTACAGAGAACGCGCGAGCCACACCTGAAGCAAAGCAGCGGAACAAAGTGCGTGGGTTACAAACTTGCGCAGAAGCCAACAAACCAACCGTAAGGAGACGCCCTCTCACCCTTAGCGGTTTCACCGTCAAACAAAACCCTGGGCTGCCCCAAGCCCTAGAAAGCCCGAAGCCTTGCGCACCTTGGGCGTATGCGTTGTTGGGACCCCAAAACTGCCACTACCCTGCGTTGAGACCCAAGCCTAGCTAGCCAAGCACGCAGCGGCCGACTACCGTTTTGCACTGCCTGCGCACTCTTTCAGGAACTCTAGGGCTACGCTACTGGGCGCGTCAGAAGTAGAACAGGGCGTGACCACGGCTTAGCCGGCTTTCCTCTTCCTGGCGGCACCTGCCTTGGCCGTGGCCTTTGCCTTGGCCTTGGCCTTGGCCTCTGCCTTGGACTTGGGGCCGGCGGTGGCTGCTGCCACAGGCGCCTTGTCAGCGGCTGTCTCCTCCGGGTCTCCTTTGCGTTCCTTGGCTTGTTTCTTCTTGTCTGTCTTGCCCTCCTCCTTGTCCTTCTTTTTTTTCTTGTCTTTGTCGACCGCGTCCTTCTTCTCCTTGTCTGCGTCCTTCTTGCGCTTCTTGTCCTTCTTTTCCTTCTTCTCCTTTTTATTCTTCTGCTCCGCTTTTTCGTCGCCACTGTTCTTGCACTCCTCTGCCGCTGCCTTTTCTGAAGCTGCCGCTGCGACCGCTCCCTCAGGCGCTGGCAGGCCGCTGCATGCGCCGCCAGGCTTTTGCTTGCTGCCTGGTTCCTTCTCAAAGCCGGCTGCGACGTCAGTCTTGGCCTTCTTCTTTGCCGGGCCTTTGGTGCCTTGGTCCTGGGTGTGCAGAGCTGCTGCTACTTCTGCGGCAGCGCTCTTAGCAAACTCCAGCAACGGGGCGGTAGTGTCTCGCGTGTGTTGGTTGAAGCCTTCCTTTTCAGCCTCGAAAGCAAGAAGGCGGGCCTCCAAAGACTCGGCCACAGGCCTCAGCTCCTTGAGCAATGCCTTGCCGTCGTCAGAAGTGGTGCCAAGGATCGGGTTGCGCAGCAGACACAGGCCTGCAATCAGGGTGACGTGGAAACCTGCAATTCTTGCTGTAAGGCTGCAGTTGTCCGAAAATTCCACGGGCAAGCCTTCCAGCTCCAGAACGTTCACAGGCCCTTGCGCCGCTTGCTTGCCAAACACAACAGGGTCCAAGACCTTCAAGATATCCTGCGGCACGCGCAACTGCGACAGCTCGGCCTCCATGGCGGTCGACTGTTTTGCCAGTTCCGCTACGTGCTTCACACCGTGGGCTCTGTAGGCTGCTTCCTCAGTGAGGCTTGGTGTTGGCAGGCTGCCCAGCAACTTGTCCAAGTTGCATTTTGCGATCTTCAAGGTTTTGGCGGCACTCTGCGCCTTTTTGGTGAGGAGCTCCCTGTGCAAAGTTAGCCGCTGCTGGAAATGCTGAATTGCCTCTTCCGAAGCAATTCTCGTCTTCTCCAAGTCCTGCTTGAAGGCGGGGTCGGCGGCGCTGTCCTCCGCTTCCTTGACAGCAACGCAAAGCTTCTCAGACAAGCAGCAGAGTTTCTTGGCGAAGCCTCTCAACTCGTCGTTGGTCTTCTGGCCAGCCCCGTGCGGGCCATGCTTTGCCACCTGCGCAAGAAGAGTCAGCAAACAAACGCGACAAAGCCCCTACAGCCAATGAAACTTGACCGTTGCCGCAAACAAGAGAGTCACACCCGCCCGGAAGGCACCAACTGTTTTTTCA